AACCTCGTGTACAGGCTGGCAGGTGCCTTGCACAGCAAGGTTGTGGCACAGGAGCACACAGGATGAGGCTGCAGCCCAGGGACAGGCTGCTCGGGCATTTTTCAGATCTTTAGCAGCATTGAGAGGGATTATATGCCACTCATTGCATGCCTTATTCATTGTTATTCCTTCTACACTCCAGCTCTCAGTACAAGGAATAAAGTGACTCCAAGAACCTCTGAACCATGCACAGAAGACATTTCTACTGAAATATCACTAACCTGAAAATCAGCAAGACACTGCTGGACAAATTTCAAGCCAGACCTAAACTGAGAAATGGAGAATGCAAAAGAGCAGTAGCAACTAGTGTTCCTCTCCTCCAGTCTTCTCGCGTGCAATTCCCAGCCACAGGATTTAGCTGTGACAAACAGAGCTGTGAGATACAGAAGCCAGATATGGTGTGTGCTTATGATTCCTTGCAGGTAGCAGAGCACAGAACCCCTGCCCTTCCCTCTGCCTGGGCCATTCATCTTGCCCAAGTGATGGAAAGCCCCGTTCCCAGCGGGTGGTCCTGCTCTCTCAGCCCTTAATGCCTAATTGTCACAAATCAACTCCAACCTCCACGCTCGGGCTGCTGCTACCCATCCCCCCTTTCCAGCCCATTCTCTTCAAGCCGACGGCAGCCCAGAATCCTCTCACGTTACCCAATCAATCTTTGGACACAGCACCTGGAAAAAACAAAGAGGCAGCAGCGACGCGAGCGCGGCCAGAGCCACATCAGGGGCGGCAGCCGAAGAGCCGCCAGCCCGGCGTGCCTGCGCGCACGCGTGCACACACACATGCCTCCTATTTTATTTTTTTGTTCAACTGGAATTAATCAGGAACGATAAACACTGTTTGTCTCCTGAAAGCAGCGGTGGGGGGATGAAATATGCCTCTTAAGCTTATCAGCCTCAGTGCCACCGAGGAGAAAGCTGGCTGCTAAGCCTGGGGATAATGGGCTGTCCTTTCAGGAAGGTATCAGAGGTCTCAGGAGAGGGAGGCAGCACAATGGTGTGACCTTCAGCTAATAAAGCCCACCCTAGAGTCCAAAGAAGCTTGGGGAATATTGACAAAAGTTCATATTTACAACAGCCTGGACTCTTTCCAGAGACCATTACCAGTTTAGAGAGCTGCAGCCTCTGTACGTATGCTCACAGAGGCTTTTATTCTGCCTCCTCCTTTCTTTCTTTGTTCCCATGCTGGCAAAGAAAAAAAAAAATTTAGTTGGAAAATGGCAATTCTGCTAACAAGGCCCCACCAGTACCTTTTTTAATGAAGAGAGTTATTTAAAATTTCAATTTCAACCTCAGCGTTATCCTCTACTTGAAGGAGATTCAAGGCCTCTTGCAAGGATTCTCAGCGCGTCATCACGCTCATCAGGAAGAAAGCATATGTGTTTTTGTGGAAAATCTGCTGATGTATTTATAATTCTTTAAACAAAAAGGCAGCCAACATATTGTAAAATGAGAAGGTTTTTTTCTTTCTTATTTTTTTTTTCAATAGGCACTGGCAATCAATGCAGCCCCCGTCAGAAACGCTGAACTGAAGCTGTTTTCAGGCAGAAACTGATCCCCCCTGGTCTGCACTGCGGTCAGCAAAAGGAGTCTTAGCCCAGAACTGGGGAACATAGGCATGACTGGAATACAAATAATAAATAATATTTTAAAAACTATTCATACAGTAAGAAAAGCCAATTGCAAAACATAAAAACTGTCTGAAACAGAAGTTTCATTTTTCTGCCTCCTAAAGTAGCTCCAAAACAAACATTAAAAGTAAAGGTTCTGAGGAAAATCGGAAATTTGTTTTCAAAGGTAACTTCAATGAAATCAACATTAAAACTCAAAACATTTAATGGAAATAGCACCTTCAGTGACAGAACTGTTTTGAACACAGAGGATCCAGCCACGCCAGTCTGCCATTTCCATTTAACTGCCCGTGCCTCAGCCCTGCCATCCAAAAGCCATCTTGCTGGGGCTCAAAAGGGATCCAACAACTGGAAGAGATTAAGACTTCCTCCACAAAGCTTCTCCTAAGAGATGCCCCCGCACCTGGTGCTCCTGGTGGTCTCATTTACCACACTGCAATTTCAGCAGTTGCCTTCCAGCACCAAACCCATTTCCAACCACAGCTCTGGGGGTATGGCAGTAGGCAGGCCCACAAGCAGCTTTCCAAGCTCTTCGTTTCAGCCCAAGCATGCATTTTATCCCTTCTCTTTATCTTATTCAGGCATATTAACAATCAAGAGAGCTCAGGTGATTGATTACAGCCTGCCTGAATTCCAAGTAGTCAAATTAGACACTAATGTTGTGCTTAATTAATGCTTTCACACAAACAAGGTCATTGGTTGCATCAGGACTAATAGGAGATGACACATGCTGGGACTGCGGGGCCCAGGGGACTGGCGGTGAGATGGAAAGTCCAGCCTATGGCCACTTACTGCAAACCCAAACCTGATCCCATGGACACCCCACACCTCACCGACCACCACAGCCACGTGCCAGCGCTCACAGCTCTGCCTCAGTGCCGCCCAGTTGTGAGCCTCCGGCCGTCCCAGGCACACTCTGCCATACCCCATTGAGTCTCTGAGTCTGTCTCACCAGGTAACTCAATGCTGGGTCTTTTTTGAGTCAACAGACACAGTAATTCAGCTACAAACGAAGGCTTTGTATCAGCTGAGATCACCCCGTGTCCCTGCCAACTCCTCCTTGCTGACATGGGGTGCTCACACCAAACGCCTCCTGAGCCTGCCTAAAATACAGCGCAGCCTTACCATAAAGCCCTTTGTTCAGACACCCTCACCATAAAGCTGCAAAACCTTGGCTCCCAAGTACATTAAATCCTTATAAACCTGCCTTCATCTTAACCGCGCAGTATTTCACGACACAAAGCGCTTCTTCTGAGGGAGAGCACTTTAATGAGGAAAAGGGCAAATATATAAACCAAACCTCATTACAGCATAATTTTTAGGAGACAAGCACGCTGTTATAAAAATGAAGCCGTGGCAATTGCATTTCACAGGGCTTGATGATTTAGTATTTTTAAAGAGCCACTGCTACGTTCAGCCACGGGCGCTGTTTTGTTGTGAATTCAACAGGAAGCAACCAGAATTACGGGCCCACTGTTTGCTGTGTATTTTATACTCTGCAAACTGTTGCAAATGGCAGATTCAGACTTGCTACATGCTCACAGAACTACCGTGCGTCAGACAGCAAGAGGCTGACTACAAGTCAGCTCACACTTTTATCTTTAAAACCCCTGCCTTCTTACAGGCTTCTGCTTTAAACCTGATGATGTGGCACGGACATGGTAAATTACTCAAATCAGAGCCAATTCATACTGAAATGAGCAGCAATGTCAAAGAAAATAACAAAAAACAAGCAAAATCTTTGGTACAGTCATAGAAATAGATGTAACGCCACTTAATGCCAGCTGTCAGATAAGCCAGGGTAACAACAAGCACATCAAAGGGGCTGCAACTGGGTTCAAACAATTAATAGACCAGATTTTTTAAAAACTGAAACTCAGTCACTTTCTCCAAAACGCCAAATGGAACAGAAGTCCCAGCCAAGCAAAAAGCCTTGACTGGAAAAAAAGGACTCCCCTCGAGAACAAGCCATCTATCTTCCTATGGAGCATCCTGACTTACATTGCTCTGGATCACTTTTAAACTTAATCTAATCAAGAAGCCATTATTGATTACAGTTCTTCCATATCAGTATTCCAGCTGTGACTTCTGAAATGAAAGCTCAGCAATGGTTAGGTATTTACCACAACTGGGAGAGAAAACAGTGGGAAAACATGAGTGCAAAGGTCACCAAAGAGACAACACATCCGAACCCCCCCAACAACCCCAGCCATTTCCCACACAGCCCACCCAAACCCAGCAGCAGCAGGGCAGTGCATTTCATAGCAGCTTTGACTCCAAGCACACGTAACACTGACTGATGGATACTGATAGTGAGGACACTGGTGGAAAATCAAACCCGACAAAGCAACAAGATTGAGAGTTTCTTGTGTTCCTTGGCATTACCTTAGAAAATTATGTAACAAGGATCAGAATTTCAGCAAACAATTATTTTATCTACCGACACGGATCTGGATCAACAGCAGCGCAAGAACTGGCATGCAACTGACGCCTATATCCTGGTTAGGTTAAGTCTTCCTTCTTGCTCCTTGTAGCCTTTAATGATTGAAATGTTGGAGTGAATGGTGCTTGCCTTCCCCAGTTAACAGAAGGTCCAACACTACATGGTTATGGTGGCGGAACAGCACTTCCAACTGAGTTCTCAGAGAGGAAATCTGAGGAGAACATAACGCACCAACACTTTTCCCAAACACAGAATCAAAAACCTTGCTGCTGGGTTCTGTTCCTGTGATACCTCCACCATTCCCATTTCTACTGATGTGACTCTTCTTTCCAAGCTTAAAGTGAAAGGACAGCAGATTCCTCCCCCACCATCACCTCTCCCTCACAAATCACAGCAGACTTTTCCAGCTCTTATCAACTCTTCCACAGAAGACAGCAGGCTGGGCAAGTCTGAATGGGTACGAGAGCACAGCCCCACCACAGGAGGATGGCACTACGCTAACCCAGCCTAGCACGTGCCTTCCCTCAGCTCAGCTTTAATACTCTTCTGCTTGGCTGTGCAATTAAGGACAAAGACAACTGCAAGCAAGTGCACATGCTGCTGGTTCTTTTGGACAACCTGCTCAGCTCCTCCCCGAACAACAGAGGATTTGGAGTGCTAGAAATGAGAAGCCTTACCACAAATGTAGAATGAGACCCTGAGTTCACAGGTTAGCTGATGTGGAACTGTTAACAGTGAATTGGCTCGGAGACAGCAAAAGAAAAAATAATAATAAAAAAAAATACGGGTAGACAGAGTGAGCGAGAGAGACAGAGACAGCAACCAATTCAGCTGCAAGAATCAAGCCAAGTCAGTCCCAAGTGCCCGTGTTGGAGAGACTTGATCTCATACCTTGCTTGTTATCAAGGCACTCCTGATACGAGTCAGCTCCAGTTCCGTTGAAGTCTACAGACAAAACAAAAAGTTTCATTCATATCAAACATAAATATTAGGAACTTCTCAAATGGCAGCCTTGCTGGAGCAGTATGCTACGTGCAAACAGTGCAAGTTCTATAGAAGGCCATGCTGGTTCACTGACATAAAATGCGATTTGTTACGAGCAAGGGGCAATGAGCTGACACCAAGCCAACATGGGAACTGCATTTGGTCCTCAGCAGGAGGTACTGGGAGCTGCCTCCAACCCTGCCCAGTTGCCACAGCACTGGGGAGGGGATCCAAGCTGCAGCTGTGCTGAGCCACCTTGCAGTGTGCATGAAAGATGCAGTTTCTGCATCTGAGCCTGTTATTAACAGTGCTCACCGCATGCCCCATGGAACCACTGGTTGAAACCAACAGCAGAAACCAAAGGATCCCAACCTACAGGCTGGAATACACTTCCCTGTGTCTTGCGATGTCACACTCCCTTTTGGCTTTCAGCTGCTGCACCATTTTAAAGAAAACTAAAAATAAAAGAGCAAACTTTCCAAACATTGCCCTCCTATGGAAGCAGCGCAGTTACAACAAGAGCTGTGTGAGATGCTGATCTGTGCCAGGAAAATGGGGGAGCACCAAGACTGCTGCACCTGTGGGTGCTCCACAAAGAAACCCAACTGTCCCCAGCCAGCTTCCAACTGCTGCACTCACAGAGCGGCACCTCGCAACCAGAGCCCATGTCACCCAACAAACCCCTTCACCTTCACTACAGGTCCCACTGGATTGCACTGGCTGCCCGCAGGAATGGTCTGAACTGTGGGATGGCAGAACCAGGTTACAGCACAGCTTGTACCTCAGAAGCAAACCAAAGGATGTTCCAGCATGGCTTCTCCTCCTGCCTTACAATCCAGTTCAACGGCAAGAAAAAGTTCTGATGGCCCCTGAGAAAGAATATTAAACATGCCTACAAACTCCAGAGCAATGAATGCTCATTCAGTGGCTTTCATGCACCTTACATCCTGGGCTGAGCACGCAGAACAAAGCCGAATCTGCACAGCAGGTGCTCGTACACAAAGGGTCTGCACAAAGTGAGCATTCTGTCCATGTCAGCGGTGAGAACGCTACATCAGTCCTGGTGCAAAGTGAGGGATCCCAACCCACCCAGGTGGTTCCTCAGGGCACCAGTGGCCTGGGGCTGCTCCATCCCCCCTCCTGCAATACAGCTCCTTATTCCACAAGGCAACCCCAACCGACCCTCACTAAAGATGGGGACAGACAAGGCGTTCATCCAGGCTGCTGCCTCAGGCGCGCTGCCAAGAGGATCAGCACCACGCCAACGGGTTCATTTCTTTCTGAAGATTCTCTCCAAGGCCAGAAGATTAGAAACACCGTTCCCAGAGGCACACTGCAGCCAGCAGCTCCCTCCCAGCTCCCTGAAGACAGGGAGCAAGCCGGCCCTGCACACAGCAGCTCACTGTGCACGCTGAACACACTCCTGCGCCCTTCCCTTCGCTCAGCCAACAGCTGCACGCACAAAGAGATCCCAACTGAGTTCACGGGCTTCACGTTCAGCAATAGCATTTAATGGATAAAAAAGCAAAAATTAAAGTTGCCCCACCGTTTGTGTTGTGTAAATCCCAGATAATAGATCTTCTCCCTAATCCTAATGAGGCCTTCCTATTAAAATCTTTATTAGCTTTCAGCTTTGCAGATTGCCCAAAGGCTCATCAGTTTCCCTATCTCTCAGTACCAAGATCTGCTTTAACTTTTACAAATAGCTCTAAGATATTTCTCAGCTTATCAGCATTGCCAAGCAGCCTGTCTTATCATTACTACTGCAGATAAAATAAATGAGCTCAGGATGATATGAATAATGGCATTTTCTGTAGGCTGGTTTCCCATTATGTTTTCAACAGATTGTAGATTTAAACTTTGGCACAAAAGAAAAAAAAACAACAAGAAATGCAGCGAAGGGGGAAGGGCGGCATCCTCCCTTTCCATTTACCTGCCCTGTCCTGGAGCACAGGCTGCACTTTAGGCACACCTTATGCCAGCCCATAATTAATGTTGAAAGGGAGCAGAAACACCTCCGTCACGCTTTCTCCAAAGACCAGAAGCACAGTTACTTCTGGGATGTTTTTTCAGCTGCATTTGTTGCAGAGAGGCGAAATTGCACGCTGCCTAATGAAGCCATCTTCATTAGCCTGCTCCTTCCCCGAGCAGCCCAGGAATACCACTCAGATTGGGAATTGAAATCGTGGAAAGCAACAGAACTGTGTGTGAATTTCCAGCCGGGGCTGCGGGGCGTCCTGGCGGAGCAGCGAGGCGCTGCGTGCGGCCAGCAGGGAGGTCACGTCCTGGCAACCATTTTCTGCCTGCTCCCTGCAGCAGTCCCTACAGGGTTAAACGCTTTTCCATTCCCCGAATTCCTAGCCCTGTCACTGTATCAAGGTTATCTATTATTGGCAGTGACAGGTGAAAATTAATCTCCTAATTATTTCTTGCTGCGTAATCTGCACTGAAGAAGTAACATAAAAGGATTACAGTACACCCTCTACGGAAGGCTTTGCTAGAGAGCCAATCATCCGGGGAGATACAAGGTATGTGCTAAAGAGATATTTATGAAGGATTTCCAACCATTTTGAAGGCAGGCTATGCTGTGGCTTACACCCCGCAGCTTTGGAGCACAGATTTTAATAGCGTGCACATTTTTTACTCTTGATTATTCCACGGAAAGAAAAAAAAAAAAGATTTAATGCCATTACGGCCCGATTTTCCTGTGGTACAGCAGCGACTGCAGTTACGGCATCCATCCGTGTACAGACATCTTCCCCCCTGAGCCACGACAGCAACAACTCACCCGCCTGCTTTAACTAGAGATTAAGAGTCCTGTGATTACCTCCGGGGCAATGTAACCGTAACATTCTTCTGCAAGAACACAAGCTAGGCTGAGCACCTTCCAAACTCAAAATGTTTTGTTAAATTCTCATTTTATAAGCAAGCCAGAAATATCTTTGGTAACAACATAAACAGCCACCACAGACATGGTGCCTGATGAAAACCCTAACACCTCGCTTCCCACCCACCACAAAGCACGGCTTATTTTTACAGGATTCAAGTGACACCTTTTGTTTATCTCCGGCCCTTCCAACGCAGCTCTGAGCCAAGCAGACGCCTTGAGGAACCTGTTTCCCCACACCCACGTCAGCAGCACCGTTCTGGTCGAAGTCTACAAGAGCCAACAATGGCAGGTCCCTGTTCCTCTCGCTCACAAGCTGCTGGGAAGCCGCTGCCCCCGTGCCCTGCTTGCAGTTGAGCCCTTCCACCAGTATGAGTGAGGTGCTTCCAGCTTTTCTGACATTTTGCCGTGGATGCAGAAATGTCAGCAGTTTCCTTATGCAACCTTTGCGTGCTCCAACCCAGCACCATTTTGCACTGGAAAGGCAACCCTGAGGCAAACTGGAAGCCTCCAATAGCATCCCACAGCCCAGTCAACCAGCACAGAGCAGGCACTGAGCTGACACCAAACCAAACCAACAACAAACACCAAACCCTCGTCTGTACGGAGAAACCAAGCCGTACCTCACTAACTGCACTGCGGCTCAGCAGCCACACGGTGGCACACAGCATACTACAAAATATTATCAATGAAGTGCTGAAATAGGGGCCTGGGCTTCGCAACAGTCACTGCACCCTTAACTCCCCAAAACAGCTGGAGATGCAGAGCTGCCTGCGCCTGCAGCTTCCACCGCCAGCTCCACGCTGCAGGTCCCCACGCTGGGCCATCAATGGCCCTGGGGAGAGGAGCAGGACACACCATCGGATGCACGGATTGTAAATCAGCGGCTCCATTCGGCCGCTCCCCAGCTGTGACAGAGGTGTAAAGATTTCTCGCCTTCTCCCACCACTGCTTTCACAAACCTCCAGCCATGCGGGGCAGCCAGCTCCCAGTCAGCTCCTGGAAGTACCACTCCGTATTCCGAGCACACAAGTGCTCCAGTGGGAAGGGCAAGTGCATGGAAATTATTTTCTTCTAGAAGGCAACTGCTACTGGAAGTGCAAGGATCTGCTGCAGCACTCTTTGCCAAGCACCTCCACTGCTGGAAGTCAGCCCAGCAGCGAGGGCCCAGCGCACCATGCAGCCCTGCAGCTTACAGAGCCCAAAGCATCGCACCTCGCACTGCTGCTGTTTTGCCCACAGATCGCTGCTCACACCACCATGGCCAGAGATTTTCTTTTCCTTAGGAGCTTCAGAAGATGAACACAAGCAATGTAACAAGCCAACAACAGAACACAGCCCTTTACCCCTGGCACTACATAGGTAAGGAAACTACTGACTTGCATCTGCTATTCCACGGAAGTTTTAATCACACCGTTACTTAATCTCTTACACAGCAATTATCAGAACAAAAGAAGTGCACACAGAGGCAAAGCACCACCTCCTACCTAGCAGTGCTACCCTTCACAAGCCTATTTTTCAGTAATATGTTTTGTTTATGGAAATCTGAAGAACAAATTCTTATCCATAGGCATTTCCCCAAATGCTCCATCAGCGGCCTCATTACGCGACGCAGCAGCTCTCCCAAGGGATATTATGTAATGGCAATTCCTCCCTGCTCTCCCCGAGGAGTGCATTTCTCATTACATCTCCTAGTAATTGATCGGCCTAGGAAATAATTTCTGGTAAAACCATGTGTTTCTTTACCTGGTTCTGAATCTCCATCTTTATTCAGGAGGAAAAAAGACCGCAAGAAACCCCAGTGTCCCCATTTCCGATGCAGAAAGCCAGCCTCTGCCCAAACATGCTATTAAGGCATCCCTTGTACCTGCCCGGCTTCATATCTTGTAAATTCACCAAGTCATTAAAATTAACCAGCCTGCATTTCCTATTCTGATGACACAAATAATTTTCCTTGACTGAATCTCCTCTAATTGCTTTAAAAAGAGTGCTTTAGTGCTTCATATTCAAATCCATCCGGACACCACAACCACCAGCGATTACGGGTCACTCCACACAAGGATGCTGGGAGCCA